TCTCTTTCTGACTTACTTCACTCTGTATGACAGACTCTAGGTCTATCCACCTCATTACAAATAGCTCAATTTCGTTTCTTTTTATGGCTGAGTAATATTCCATTGTATATATGTGCCACATCTTCTTTATCCATTCATCCGACGATGGGCACTTAGGTTGTTTCCATCTCCGGGCTATTGTAAATAGAGCTGCAATGAACATTTTGGTACATGACTCTTTTTGAATTCAGGTTTTCTCAGGGTATATGCCTAGTAGTGGGATTGCTGGGTCATATGGTAGTTCTATTTGTAGTTTTTTAAGGAACCTCCATACTGTTCTCCATAGTGGCTGAACCAATTCACATTCCCACCAGCAGTGCAAGAGTGTTCCCTTTTCTCCACACCTGCTCCAGCATTTATTGTTTCTAAATTTTTTGATGATGGCCATCATCAGCTGCATGTTAACAGAGATCCCCATTAAAGTGTCTGAGACCATACGGATGTGTTTTTGTTTTTGTTTTTGTTTTTTTTTTGCGGTACGCGGGCCTCTCGCTGTTGTGGCCTCTCCCGTTGTGGAGCACGGGCTCCGGACGCGCAGACTCAGTGGCCATGGCTCACGGGCCCAGCCGCTCCGCGGCATGTGGGATTTTCCCGGACCGGGGCACGAATCGGCAGGCGGACTCTCAACCACTGCGCCACCAGGGAAGCCCGGGATGTGTATTTTTTATGTAAGAAGTCTGGAGTCAGGTGCAGTGGCTCAATGACGCCATCAGTGACATGGTCACATTCCATTTATGCACTCAGCTATACTCAGCGAGTTGGGAATGTCTCGCTTGTGGCCACAAGATGGCTGTAGCAGCTCCAGGCATCAGGGCCTCGCAAGGCTGCATTGGAAGGGTGAGGGAGGAAGAGAGACGGGACAACTGGCAGTCCTGAGGGGCAAAGGAGAGGTGGCAACTAACAGTTGCTCACACATCTTTCTCTCCCTCTTATTTCCTCACTTCTTTACCTTTTGGTTTCCCCCAAACCAGCGTTCCCCAAAGCCACATTGCATCAGTACGCATCCGAGTGGGAGGGAGCACAAACATTAGAACTAACTGGCCGACCTCGAGCAAGTTACTTAACACAGCTGGGCCTCAGCTTCCTCACTTATGAAGTGAGGGTCGCAGACTAGATGCCTCATGTACGTAAACTTCTCATTGAGGTATCACATAAAGGCTCACAGATCAGAAATGTACTGCTTGCTGAATTTTTACAAAGAACCAGCCCCACATTAAGAAACAGAATATTATCAGTACCCCAGAAACGCCCACAAAGGTAACATTAGTCGACTTTTAGCTCAATACATTAGTTTTGCCTGTTTTTGAATTTTATACAAATGGAATCAGCGGGAGACATTCTTTCATCGTATCTAGCTTTTTTCACTCAACACTATATTTGTGTAATTCATTCACCACGTTTTAAACTGTGCACACAATTTTGCCTCTGTTGGCGATAGTGCCGTCTCAGTTGCCCCTCTTGTTTGAGGCAGCCCTCTGTGGCCTTCTACATGTCACTCTGAATGCTCTTTGAAAACCTCCTTTGTCCTCATCAGCCGTCCACTTCAGAAGTGGTGGTGTTATTTTGAGGCAGGGTTTGGGATGCCACATAAAATAAAGCTATGATTGTATTAAAAACCAGAAGAGGATAAGCAGCTAACACAAACATGAATAAGGCCTAGACACATGCTGTACCAGGAGAGAGAAAGAAAGAGTGCTTCGTTGTGACTCTGCTTTGTTTTTAAGGTCTGGGTCTCATGTAAAGCCCTGATAGACTTGCTATGAGGTTTTGGGATTCTGCCTTGGCACACTTACTGAATTCTGGGGCCCAAGGTCCTGTCTTCTGAAAGGTTCCAGCCTAAGTGCCTAAGGTTCCTTGTGGACAGGAATGGGTGGTTGGGAGGTGGGGGAAGGGCCCATGCTGTGTTCCTGGGTTCTGGTGGCATCTCCCCGTACCCCATGCACACACATCCGGTGCATTTTCCTCAGAGCTGAGCCCTAGAAACCCAAGCTTCCCTCCATACATTCCAATAAACACTACAACATTTTGCTCTGACACACAAACTTCACATTTCCTCCTCACCACCACGTTGCTTTGAAAACTTTTAGTAAAAGCACAGTCACATAGTCTGGGACACTTGCTCTGTTTCAGTGGCAATTTCCCACCACAAGGAACACTGAAATACAACAGGAAATAGTGAATATGAATAGGCAGTCCTGGGCTAAATTTGACTGGTGGAAACTTTATCCTAAAATGTTTTCCACAGAAATTCACTTTCTTTAGTTTTGATGACTACCCACTGGATCACTGTGGCCACATGCCATTGACCAACGAGGAAACTGGAAAATAAACTTTCATATGGCCTTTCCGGAACTCTGTTTTGTTTTTGTTTTTTAAATGGTGGGAGCATAGAAAAATGACACTCTGACCCAAAATGAGCAAATAGAGGAGTTTGGAGAGAGCATGTTTATTTATGAAAACTTTATGATTATCATTTCATAAGAATAGAGGGAAAGCATGAGAGAGAGGGAAAGGGAAGGAATTAACATTCAGGGAGCATCTATTCCATGGCAGCATTTGGCTGGGAATATTACATACTGAAGGCTGTTTCGTTCTCACAACCACCAAGTAAAGTAAATATTATTACCTGCGCTCTGTCCTTCTTTTTGGATCAGGAAGCAGGTTCGTTTAGGTAACTTGCTAATCACCCACTGATAGTTAGCAATCAGAAATTCAGATGTGGCTCTCTTTTCACTCTTCCCTGGCATCTTGAGGAGAAAGCTGTGTGGAGTCTTAATAAAATGAGATCTCAGTTGTGGGAAGGTGGCCTGGCTATTAAAATAAACAACATCATTCGATAAAAAAATACCTATGTTATACATCTATAGAACACTCATTTCTAGTTATATTCATGCTATTTGTTTTGATCAGAAGAACAGATAATAGGGTCTGTCATAGTTGTAAGCAGCCCTTGAATATAAAAGTATTAATTTTCCTCAACTCCAAGAGGAC